AAAAAACAAGCGCGCGCGGAAAAATAGTCTTTGCATTTGCTCACGTCAGCAGCGTACACCCATGGGCAAATGGGGGACGCTAAATTGACCAATCAGAGCGCGCGCTTTACTTTGGTTATGTTATAATATTTCTTGGTAACCAGCACCTTTAACTCTGATAGTATGGAATTTTTGGATCCACGTTTGATGTGTTGACCGCAGACGTCAAACCGTGGTTAGCAGGTTGAGGTTATGTCGGAGTTAAAGTTTCGAGATTTTTAGCTTTTAGATCGACGTGGATTTTCAACTGAAAAAATCAACATTTGAAGTTGAAATACTTCACTTGCACAATGAAATACAAACCTCCGATGAAATCCTATCTTTTTTAGATTTCACAGCACAGATTTCGATGTTTGACCCATCACAGGGTGACAATTTTGCGCATTTGTACTGACGCATTGTCAACGTGTCTCATGGGCGACCAATCACATGACAGTAGTGCCATTAGTGTTCATGGTAGTCATGTTTCCATTTGGAAACCCACCATTGACCCAGTTGCTGGACGAACTTGTCACAACGCTGGTAAGAACCAACATCTCATTCAAAGCACTTTCCACCGTATTTCCCAAATTTATTGGAGGAAAGAACAGCGCCTCCACCGTACCAGGACGAATTAAGCGCAAGGAAGGTAGCCTCAGGAGAAGTTTGCCGAAACGTGTTGGTTGGTTTGGATATTGGGTGCGAATGTAATCTTCCAGTGCACATTGGGTACGTTCTTGGAGACCTTCCACGTGAGTACAGTTGGAGAGTCCTTGAGAATCTGAAAGCATTCATGAGGAAATAAAACTTCAAGATACAGATACAAGTCAAGCATTTGTCTTTTTGCAGTTAATTGATATGGTAATCAAATTGACTTCGACAGTGTGAGACGGTCCAAGTACTTCCGAAAGGGAATCATTTCAGAGTACATTCCTGCCTTTTAAAGAATAAAAAGTACTGTTCCCTACTGAAAGTGTTCTTATAAGAAATTTTCCCTTAAGAAAGCAGTGCGACTTCGTTTTAAGACCACAGTTTTGTTGCCAAAGCAAAGACGATTACTCCATTTACCTGGATTAAAAAGAAGAATAGCCTTGAGACAGCAAAACTCTGCAGAATCTATGTGTAAATTTTTAAGCTTTTCGACTTGTTCTTCAAATAATCTAAGATTTTCTGCAGAATCGAAAGCTGTAATTGGTCCATTGCTGCCTGCTGTTAACATCTCCGTATTCGATGGAGAGGTCAACGCGTTTATGGTCAGCGGCTGCGCCATGTGAAACGGCGAGCAGTGCTGAGCAGCGTTTAATATGAACAGTTCACTCCAGCACGATCGTAGCAAGATGGATTGATCAGGAAGAGTCAACTCCGAGAAAAAGGGAATATTCTTGGCCCATTCGGTCATGGAAACCAGCAGTCTGGTGGCAAGCTCGGACGCGCTTTCCAATCCCGCAATATTTGTGGAGATCCCGAGGGACTGCTGGTAGCGCGCGATGGTATCGGCTCGAAGCAAGAGAGTGATGTAATTTGAGTAAAAGGACTGGGGATTGCGCATGTCACCAAGGCCCATTTGTAGACAGCTTACGTCTGATTGAGTTGTTGAGATGCGACCTTTCTGAACAGCTGTTGGCAAATGGAAAAAAAGTTTAAAAGCGAGCAATGGCAAAATACTTATACACGTTATGTAAAAAATAACTTCAAATAAAAAAATTCTTGTAATGAAGGCTTCAGGATTTAATCCCTTAATTTCCTCTCATTGCAGTCAGCCAACCATAAGCAATAAAAGTGTATAAACAAACCTTAATCCTCAGTCAAACCCACAATCCTCAGACAAAGTGTAATCAGGAGCCTATTACTTGGAGCGTTCAACTGCCCTTTGTTAATAAAGGCTGGGCTCAGTATGGGAGTTGAACGCTCCAATGGGTGGGCTCCTGATGTAATACAGATGTGGTAAACACCAATGAACTAGCATCAGTGCATGTCAGAGAACATTTCAATTTCCTTTTCCACCTTCTTACTATTATGATGCTGTAACTTTATGGCATAATAGGAAAATTTAGCTAACAAAAAGTTACAAGATTGTCGAGAAATGCGCCGCCTCTCCTTTGGCTATACTCATTCTCATAAATGCCCTACCCCGCGGTTCCCACCCCTCCTCCATTTGGGTTACCTATCATGTGAGCAACGGGCCGCTTCTTCCATAATTATACTATATGAATCAAAATCTTCTTACATTTGAAATAATCATGTCCCTGTTATCTTTTCGAAAGAAATATTGATTGCATATAATACTTGAACCCTATAAGCTGCATACCTCATCACTAGCGCAGCAGTGCACCGAAACGAAATTAAGAAATTACGATTTTTGTCTCCTCTGTCTTTGACGGGACATTTGTTTTAAAAACCATCTTGGAGGGAGAAAATACCTTAAAATGTCTAGTTCAAAGGTCAAACATACCATCTTTCCTCATTCCAACTTTCATACATTTCTTGAGTCTGCAATACTGGCAATGATTCCTGTGTTGGATATCTACTGGACAATTCTTGTATCCCCTACACGTGTACGAGAGATTCCGTCGAATGCTTCTCTTGAAAAAGCTTTTACAACCTTCACACGTAAAAACACCATAATGCTTCCCAGACGATTTATCTCCGCAAACTACGCATTCAAGGGAGGGTTTTGGTGTACTAGAACCTTCTTCCGTCTCTGAAAAGTCTCCGGGTGAATAAAACGCGTGTTCGAGAAGAACCGGTGAATCGGCTTCCGCGTTTGAAATTTCTGCGCAAGAGCTTTGTGGTTGTGGCAAGCTTGTAAGGGCGTTTATGTTCACGTTTATGTCCGATGCTGCTTCATCGTTGAAAGAGTTCATAATAAACTTGAACTAAAGGTTAAACAAGTCGCCAACTGGAGGGGTTGGTGACTCTCCTAATACAAATATGAATAACTATTGTTTGACCATGAAGAGAAATAAGCGACTTAAGAACAAAAGCAATTAGTCGCCCCTGTCGTTATTATGTAATATTGATTAAGGTACCCGTTAAACTGACAAAGCTTCTGTTTTGTGAGGGTTGAAATCAGCTGTGGGCTAAAGAGGGGTAGATGGAATCAAAGTAAATGAAGCTTTCAGAAAACTTTTCAAAGCAATAAATAAATCTATTTTTTTTAATCCATTCTTATACTTGATTTCTAATCAATGGATTTGAAAATACACTTAATAAGATTTAACACAGTGCACGACAATTTTTATTTTAAATTGAAAAAAATTGAAGCAGAAAGGCGTTTTCAAAACCTGGTTGAAATCAGCAATGAATACAAGTCTGCTTAAACTGTACAAATTTTGTTCAGCATTTTCAACCCCAAAGTCAAGGACGACTTCTTTTAGTACTCAACCAGGTATATATAAAGTGCTAAAAGTCAACTGCTTTGGACCAAAGGCCAACTAAAGTGACTGCAAAAAGTGAGCTGAAAAATGTTGTTTAATATCATATTTTTAATGGAGGAGAAGCTGAAATTTTTAACAGGTCCTATGGCTTCTTTGAATTTCTCGGAACGTTCTGTGTGTTTTATTTGTTTACTAAATACATGAAAACAAATCTTCTTTCGTTATGGGCCCTGTCAGTGGAAGGTGAAATACTGGTACTTAAATATTTTATAGCTTCAAACAATCTGTGGGAGGTTGTAAGTAAATTGAATTATATGCTGTGGGCGGCTTGTTTTGAAAAGGGATTGATTGATATGTCATGTCAGAAACTTTATGCTAGCTAAGACATAAATTCAATTCATTACAACTTGTGTTTTTCCTTTCCTCGCCGGTTGCATTCAAATGGTTTTGTCTTGTTTTCTTCCCTGTGATTGGATCTGGTGAACCGTGAAAATTCTGTTCGTCTGAACGATCATGAAGATTTTATTTAGCAGCTGTTGAGAACAAAAAAATTTCTATGATTGCTTAAGTATTGGTCAATCAGCTGTTAAAAAGGAAGGGAATTGTGTGTTATTTCAAATTGACTAATATATAATGCGCGATCCGAGCGTGCGGTTGGTAACTCTGTATACATGGACTACAGAGAAGTGTAGCTGACTTATAAAATGCTTTGTTGTGATTTTCTTTTGAAATTTAAGCTGTGTGTGAGTCGGGTGGCATGTTTGTTAGCCCTTTTCTGTGTAGAAATTTGTTATGGTCGGGTCATGTAAAGTGTTTTGACTTCACAGTGTACAAACAATAGAATCAAAGACAGTTGAATTGTTTTTTAGATTCAACATTGCCAAACCTTCACTGACGCAAAGCATCGAGATATTGCGAGAGCAACATAAACTGCTCAGTCTTTCAGGGTCAGTTTTGTATTGTGTGTTATTGAGTCCGTACATGGAAGACCGATCACCGCATGGCTGACAGTATTAAAAAATGCTGTAAGCGTCGTATCTACAAAAAGGCAAGAGAACTGCAACAGAAATTGGGAGGAGAAAACTGATCACTTCGACTTTATTCAATTCACATCCCAAATACTCACGATACGAGATCTGGTAGATGTGAACATTTTCATTCCCTCTTATGGTTAACTTCGAACTTCGAACTGGAAGAAAATGAATGCGAAGTAATTTCGTTTCCGGAGCCCTCGGTAAGTACTGGAAGATTGACAAAATAAATCACTATATGCGAGTTATACCACGGATCTAAGAGTCTTTACTTTTTCAACTAAATAAGGGTATCAAAGACTCTGGGATAGGATTGAGCCCAAATTAAGGGAACGAGAAAGAAAGAGAACTCAAATTCGCACGTCCTTTCGTATACTGACGTGCGCACGTTTTATTTTGGGCTATGGACAATCGTATCGCTTTAGTCCCAGCGAAACCGTCACAGCAGGACCAGCGAACTGTGATCATGATGTATAAGACTTCTTGAATAGCTGACTAAATTAACATAAAAGATCCTTTAGACTTCTTTGAACTGCAGCTCGAATATTTTTTAACCTTCACCAAAATAGTAACGGGTTGAATGAAGAGTTGATAAATGTTATCGTCCAGGAGACTTCAAAAGCAAGAGTAATCGATACAGCTACAGGTGCATGTGTCCATGTCACCATGTTGTTGAAAATGAAGAATAGACACGCATGCAGTGGTCATATATGGGAGATAACAAAGCAAACTGATTATGTACAGGTAGAAAATGTCGATAAAAGAGTTCTTGAGTCCAGTTGATATTCTCATTTGCGCAGTGGATTGAAACACCGTTACCTAATTCCAAACTTAAAGTTGATGATGCCGCACTACACGATAAAATTTTGAATACAGGACCGCATTCAGGAGAAGGCAAATGCCGACGAAAGGAGCTGAAAAAAGCTCAAAATATCCATATTTTCAAGCGCCAAGGGAAGAAGCTACTGAACAAGGAAACCATAGGAAAGCGAAAAAGAAGCAAACTCTTCGTACGGTGACAATCTCATGGTACCTTAAGTGAAGATTTAGAGCCAGGAATTGGTCTACACTCAAAGACGACACAGTAATGTATGAAGCACCACATAACAAGCTGGACGTAAATCTGCTTGCTTTCCCATGAATTCCAACGAGTGTTGGGTCTCGATGAAAGTGTTGGTAAATTTTCCATGCGATGTACACAGGTTGTACAATTAAACCAACACAGAGGTCGGTCAGCGCGAGGCTGATCAGTAACACATTTGAAGGCGTCACTAATGAAGGAGTACGTGCAAATGACACGAGAATCAACAGATTGCCAAAAATGGCTAAAACGCAGAATGGAAAGTTGACAGTGGCGTTTATCACGAATGGAATTGAATTGTATCGTTAAACATTTCGCTCCAGGATAATAGTTTGCGTTGAGATATCTGTTAATTTCAGGTGTCCTCGGTGAGGGTTTTCGTAAAATACGCGAGATTAACGGCGGGATGTTAGATTTTACGGTCTGGTTTTCGCTTGTTCATAGCACTGAACTGAAGTCAATTTGTGAACAAGATCAGGGTAGATTGATGTTTCCCTGAATCGTGACAAGGCAAGACACTATGAAGGCAGATAAGTGACACAGCTTCAAATGGTTATTTTAGTTAAGATTTCGACAACAAAAAAACTCATCGATTGAACAAGCAATAGAAATGAGAATGACCCTTCCAAATGAAAGACAGCCTGGAATTTAATTTCGCCTGTTAGATGATTTTATTATCTGAACATTCTGCAATAACCGGTCCTCTGTTCACGTTTCTCATTATGATCTTAAATGCGATACTGGCGAAAAAAGGTGTTTCCCTTACGGGAAATCATTTCAAAGCAATTTATGTAAAGTGTTAATTATGGCCAACACTTTCCCTTGGTGAGTTCAGTATTAAGTCTTTACAAACTTGCACAAGTTTTCAGTGATTCTTTTTTAGAAACAGGATGGGTTAACAAAGTGTAATTTAAGAGGCGGAGACTGAAAACATATTTCACTGATATTTTAAATCACAAAGCTATAAAATGAAATAAATTTTTGCTGTGGCGAAGGCAAAATGAGATATTATAGATAAAAGAAAACCAGCCACAAAGAGAAATCGGAAAAAGAATTGGTGCATGTTCTTTGCTTTCCGTATTTATGTTCTCTGTGGAAACTACTCTTTCAAAATGAATCATCTCTATATTCTTGGCAAACTAGAGGCATGCATCTCGTCGCAGTTTTGGCTTAAGATTAAAACGCCAGTTTTTCTGATATAGTTAAGTGTCAGAAAAACTAAAAGCCTACCTTTCTTGCAAAGGGAATTTAGCAAGACCACGTTGCCAGAAATGTGCGAATGTATCTTAAAAGAAGACCATTCGCGCGCGCTAAAGGTAGGTAAATGAAATTATACTGACGTCAGCAAACGTACTTTTCTTTATACGTTGCAACGAAGCTTGCTGTAAAATATTGCCTTGTCGTTCAAGAGCTATAGCTTCAAATGTCCACTAAGAAGAAACACGCTCCGTCTGTTTTACTCACCGACGAAGAAAACGACCTGATTCGAGATATGTTAGGGCAGAAGAAATATGTGAGTGAATAAGATCGAAGCATTTTTAATGTCGTTTGTGTGAGCTTTTGCAGCCCCGCAGATTTCGCAGCGAAAATTGTTTAAAGATATCGGTGTATGTTTCAATATCTAGATCAGTAGACATATACGCACAGTTTCCACGGAAAAAGGATATTCTTAATGAAAGGGATTTTTTATAAGTAACACAAGAAGGTACTTTTCCATTTACTCGTACCAACAGAGGTCATTGGAGCAAGTTCCCGTTCAGTATCTAAAGTGAGCCAGAATGTGGGATAGATTTGCTTCAACCTTTATTGAGATTAGTTAGAAAACTCGTACTACCCTCCTGACTTGATCATTTAAGTTTTCCCGAACAACAAGACGTAAGAGTTAGCTCCTTTTAATACTACTCTGCGGTCTAATAGGCCATTGTGGTCTCTCACTGGTTTTGGTTTCACGACCCTCAATTGAAAAGTGCTCCTTTGTTCTCAAAGATAACTTGAAACACGCGATAACAAAGTGCGCACACTCTAAGGCCGTTCGCGTTTTGAAAATGTTTAATTCGCCCATTTATTCATCAATTCATTCATTTATTTTAAATATTCGCTCGTTGGTCCGTTATTTTATATTATGCATACTTAACTATTCACTCATTCATTCATTTACTTTTCAGTCATTAGCAACAGGCGTTGTCCAGTTGTACCTCGCACTTCCAAAAGATCGAACACGATGGACTCATATCGTGACAGGAGTAGCATGCCTTGTGAAAGATGGCAACTTAAAGTCGTATTTCATCAGAGTTCTGAACCTTATGGTGAGTGCTTTCCATTGACACATGTTATCCCAAGAAAAATTTCGAAAACTATTTCGATTTCTTTAAAATTGTACCAGGAACAAACTGGAAACGAAATGATTGAAGTGATGGGGAAATTGAGGTGGAGAGAGCTGTTACAAGTACTCGTTCAACCTCCCCCCATCAAAGGCTTTTAGGCAACTAGTAAAAGTAACACAAAATCTAACATGTTGTGGCCGTTAAGTTGTTTGTTGTTAAAACAGGCATTCAAAGAATACACGCCGTTCCAACTTCCCTTCTTACATTTAGGTTTTTTTTCCTTATTGTCACAGAGCCAAGAGATTCCATGGGAACAAGAATTGTATAAACAGTTCAAATACAGAGCCGCCACTACGATGTTCTATACCTTCAACGCGCATGTGGGTGGTGTGAATTTGTTTAATGCTGAGGCCCTTTTAGGGGTTATTGGGAAATGCAATATCCGGGTGGAAAATTATAGGGGTACGGAATACTTTACGAAAAAAATCAACGGGATACGGGATCCTTTAGGAAAAAAATAAACGGGATACGGGATATTTAAAATAAGGATTCTGGGATATCTAAATGTAACTATAGGAATACAAATAACAGGAATTACACTTAACGGGATATGGGATATTTAGGCCAAAAATTACACATAATAAGAGACGGAAGACCCAGACCCCCGCCTATAGGGTCTCAATGCCTTCTACATTTCTCCTTCTGCAGTTAAACTATAGAACTGAAATTCCTATTGATATAAAATCCGAAAATCTCAAATCTGCCATTCCGTCTGGTAGTTGGCTTAAATATTTTTTGATACATCTGAAATCACGGAAAAAAAGTTGGCCTGAAGTATTTTCAAACAGTGTTTTCATATTTTTCGAAACTCCCCAGTTCTTTTTAACATTTGTCTAACAAAATTTCAAGTTCATAATATATAGCTTGTGGAATTTGTTGTTAGTGGAATTTGTGGAATTTGTTATTAGCTACTGCGCAACGAGATTAGGTGGTTTTTTTTTATGCCACTCTACTCGTTCAGATTACACTCAAAAACACTGAACAGATAAGTATCATCAAAATTATTAGATATGTAATTTTTTATTTCAGTCTCAAGTGGTTTATTTTTTTTCGGTAGGATTGTCGAGCAGGATTGAATTTCTGTGATGAGTTAGAGGCAGCTGCTTTTAAGGCAGCGATCAAGGAAAGGATCAAAGATTTCAAACGAAAAAGACAGGGTTAGATCTCTTTTCAAATCGTCGAAAAAAGAGTTTTCTCCTAAATTCGTTTCCTTATTGCATGATAGCAATGTTTGATATAACTGCAAATCCTAAAAAGGTGGTGCCGAGGGGGGTCTGGGGAGGGCAAAATAACGACATCGATATCTTTCTTGTTTTATTAATTGTCAACGTCACTGTTTTCCAGAAATTCCATCGTTCTGATTGATCCTACACCCTCAAGTTTTGATAGTAAATTAGCTTGAATAAGACCATGTAATTATTCATCAGCAACGCCTAGTATTTTTTCCGTTAAATCGAGAGCAATATCTCCTGCAAGGTTGATCAGTATTCTCTTTCTCATTATCTGTCCGCTTGACAGAAAGTGAAAATGCTCGAGAGAGTTGACCCTTTGGTCGCTCGTGGAAGTCAACATTTGACTAAGCATGAGCTTGAAAGTACATGGTCTTATTCGTGCGATCACATTGTATTGTTTTTCGGTTACCTGAATTTCTCCCTTCTCAGAGGCTCGCCAAAGAAAACTTATGGCTCAACAACAAATGCAGTTCCAACAAATGCAACAGATGCAGCAAATGCAGCAAATGCAACAGATGCAACAAATGCAGAAACTGCATCAATTGCAACAGATGCAGTCAATGGTTGGAGGACCGATGGGCCGAGGCGTCCAAATGGTTCGATACCAGACTCTTCAAGGTCACGGCTCGTTTGCTCAGCCAAGACTTATGATGAGACCACAAGGACCCCAGATGATGGCCCGTAAGACACATATTTCTTTCATATTGATGCCCCTCACTCCATTTATTACCCTAGTGACGTTTATCAAATATGTTAGTGATCGAGTCGACTGAAAAAATTAACTTTTGTAGAGTTAGCCATTGTGGAATTACCAGGCTCCGAGAACAACATTTCCAGAGAGGTCCCGGTCGCATCTCTAGGTATTATTGCTTTGAGTAGAACTCTCTTTCAAAGAATACTTAAGGGAAACATTTTTCTCTTCAATTGCAGCTCGCCCTAGGTCACCAATGCCTATGCGACCACAGTCTCCTCAGGCACCCATGCAAATGCGACGAGGAATGCCAAGAGGAATGGGACCAGCTAGACCCGCCTCTCCCCAGCCTCCCACTCAGCCGGTTTGTTCCACTGCGCCTCAGACGAAAAGACCTGTAGAAAACAATCTACAAAGAAGACCACCGCCCCAGACTCCCACCTACGGTAAAGTTAAACTTCAGACGTGATTATATTATAAACTTTACCATCCATTTGAAATAGTTTATAACGACAATGACAAAGTAAACCGATCTTTGGCGACAAAGGTCCACACTTAGTTTGCTCTCTTACGTGTGAATTTACCAGATTACTTGAAGTCATTAAAACACCAAGACTCGTACAAGGCTTCTGTGCAATAAAATTAGCCTTGGGGTCCTTACATATTTCAATTTTTTTGGTAGATTCTGTTAATCAAAGACCTGAAAGAGCTGCATCAACGAAGCCGATACAGAAGCAAGTAGAAGAACCTATATACGAGGCTATGCCAAAAACTGACCAGGCACGAGAGCGAGAAGATGTTTCAAAAAGTGGTTAGTGATGGCAAAATGGGGGTTTGAGATTTTTAACAAGCTCTATCAAATCTGGCCTCCTCGATCAAACTTCTACTTCCTCTGATTAAATTATTGTTTTTGCGTCACAGAAGTCGCAGCCAATGCCACTGCAACAGAATCAGTCGCACAGCAGAATATTACTACAACCGATCCAGATTTGGACAAGAAATCAAAGAAAGAAAAGAAAGAAAAGAAAGGTGCACATTTAGATGAAACTGCACCACCAAACCGAGTCATGGCATAAAAGATGAAAGACATTTTAAACCAATTCAGGCAACACGTTTAATTACAGGGATGGCTTTAGCATCAACCACACGAGCGCGTATTTTAACTAAAGAAAAGTTTTCCCTGTGTCTGCTATGGATCCACGCGTAAATCACTGTTTTTCTCCAAAATAAACAATGTAACAATCAGAAAAAACACCCCCCATCCCCCTCCCCCCTCTCCATATGGACTAATTTCGTACCCAAATGCTATCGTTTAACCGTAACTGAAATGTAGGGACCTCACAACCGCTTGGCCGTAGAGGGGCTGGGTACGAGACCACCGAGGGGCCAGTCTTTCCAAACTCACCTTTCTTCTAAAGTAGATTTGTTATAACAGGTTTCTTTGGAGGCCTTTTCAAGAAAAATACAAAAGAGTCTGAGGGAAAGTCAAAAGCTAAGGATGCTAAAAAAAACCCGGATCCAGTTTCCGCCCAAAGCCAGGCTGCAAGTCCGTCGCAAGGTAAAGTTGCAATTAAAGCAAACTGTAATGCTACTCTATATGGTGGGGATGGTAGAAGGTAACAGTGTACAAGCCTCAGCAGTAATTCAATGTTGGACGACAAGATAACAGGAGTGTAGCATGGTTAAGTTATTCAAAGGCTGTGCTCTCTCCTCGGAGTGTATTTTAAAGCTATCTGAAAAGATAAATTGGTAATTGAAATCTTGAGCCATAAGCAGAGGAGTTGCAAGCGTTTCAGTGAGTAGATGTTGCCGAAATAAAGTGGAATAACAGACAGACTGTCGACAGACTTTTGCAGTTAGTATTTACAACTGATTTTAATCAGGAGCCCAGCCCTTTTGAGATTGCATCCCGGTAGATGATGTGAGTACAATTTAGCCGATGATAGGATGAAAGTTTAACGATATGATGTTCGTGCGTTGTCATTTTACAGAGCCTACTCCTTCGCCACAATCAGCTCCACCACCCACCAAAGCCCCGGGTGCTCCAACATCTCCGCCTGCCTCTATAGCTCCACCCCCTCCACCTGCCCCATCTGGTTCGTCCCCAATGGGCCCACCGGGGGTCACAGCTGCGACTCCTACCTTGACACAGGTAGAAGCATCATCCTTCCCACCTGGGTCAGATGTCGGATCAATTGCTCCACCACCACCTCCACCGCCACCACCGCCACCGCCACTGCCACCACCCGCGCCCCTTGTTCCTCCTTTGATGGAATTCCAAATCTCTAATACTATGGAAAACTTTGTGAGCTCAATCGGAGCGGGAGGCGATGAGCCAGCGTCGTTTTTAGACAGTATACTTGCGGGACCACAGCTTAAAAGGGTCGGTAGAGTGTTTATTTCCGTACTCTTTAATATAGGTAAGGTTTAATTCCTTTAACCAACAAATTAGACAGCGTTGCGGTATTAATACTACAATTAAAATTTTGAACTACTATGTAATACTGCACATGTACGACCTGTGCATTTTCGTTGACCATAGCTCCGTGGGAAAGTCACCTATTGCTTTTCTGGGTTTAAACTAAGCTCGGAAATTTCATTAATTTGTCTGTCTTTCGTCTTTCTTGCGCATTTTTTCGTTCGTTCGATCAAGTCCCCTCGTTCCCTCTTTGTTCCTTCTTCGTGCGCCCTTTGTTCCTCCTTCATCCCTTCGTTCCTTCTTTGTACCCTCTTTGTTCCTTCTTCGTCCCTTCGTTCCTTCTTCGTTCCTTCTTCGTTCCTTCTTCGTTTCTTCTTAGTTCCTTTTACGTTCCTCCGCTCCTTTGCTCACTCTTACCTTGGCTCGTTCTTTTACTCGTTCCTTCTTGGGTTTGTAAATTCATTCAACCATCTACTACGATATTCATTGTTTACTTTGCAGTTCTTGTTTGTCACCAAGTTTATTTGTGTATTCATCTACTGGCGCTTTCAGGTTGATAGATCAGCTGCCCCTCCGCCAAAACCCAAAGAAGAATTTACTGGAATGTTGGGAAACTTAGCTCGTGCATTAGATGAAAGGCACAAAGTGATGCATTCTTCAGGTAACGTGACCTGGCCTCTTTCCTTTTCGGTCTGACTAATATTTCTTTTGTATCGTACTAATCAGCGGCGATGTCACAACATCCTTTCAATCAGTATCATATATTGTGTGTGAGAAATGGTGACCTGATTGTTTGCGCGCTGATTGACCGATAGAAAGGTCTGGGTTCCAGCCGCGGTAGGGGGCATTATGTTGTGTCAACAATTCCTCTTACAGTCTCTCCTCGAAGTCAATAAGTGTGTGCCGGTACACTTTCGGGGAAATATGAAGAAATGTTGTTGATTAGGCGATAACTGACCAGCCTTCCAGGGAGTAATCCTATTACCAACCTGAGTCCCCAAAACCCACGCTACGAACGGCTACCGAGGTAGTCTCGTGTGCATAATCACTCGCAGATGGCCCTGGCCATCTACGAGTGTCTTGTTCAGCTCGATTTCCTCTGTTTCCTCGGATACGGTCTTCGATCCTCCTGAGAAGACCTTGAAAGTCGGCTGGTAATTGAGTCCAAAGTATTGTTTGATTATTCTTCGATTAATAAGTTAATTCCATGGATTTCCTTGTATATATCTCTGTATTGTTTCGTACTTTCCACAGACGAAGATGATGATGATGATGAAGACGACGACTATGACGATGATGATGACGAAGATTGGTCAGATTAACTCTTTGCACGTCCCCGTGCCGTAGTCGTACTAAACATTTTTTAGCCTGATACATTGTTTGTACAACAGAAATGAGTCTCGTATAATTAAAGTCAAACCCAATTCACGGTGAATGGTTCAAGAGACTGACCACCCTTCCTTCCCTCCCCCCCTTATTCCTATAAACAGCTCTGGGAACGACAAATTCACCACACTGCTGCTGTACTCTGATTGGGGAAAGTGCCTCGTATTAGAAAGGCGAAGCGTAAGTTCGTTCCTTACGACGTAGTGCCCCTCAACCATCTGTTCTTTTTCCCCACCCCGCCCCAACTTTGTTGCTTAAAAACAATAAACGTGCGCGTGTCACTCAAATGATAATTTATTTCTGGAACGTAAATGTATGCAGAACTAAAACGATAAACTTTAGGAAAACAAAATTTCGATTACAAATGTTTATTGTTATAGAGTACAAGAGAAATCTATCGATTTGAGTATTCTGTTCTGTCAAAAAACACAACCACGCTTCCGCGTTATATATCTTACTTTTAATTGGTTATCTAACCGCCTTGACCTAGTTCTCATTCTAGTTACAATTCGGAATACATTGATTTTGTAACTGACTGAGACGTTACGCAGCAAATCCAGTGTGCATGCTGCGCAGATAGCCATTTCCGAGTCAACTTTGGCCTCTTTTTCAAAGCGAGTCCTGGTGCTCAACCTCTCATGTGACTTCAAGTTTTCATTCGCATTTGCAGATTAAACCCATTTTTCATGCGAGTGGTTGAGCACCAAGTCTTGTTTAGAAAAGGGGCCAAACGTAATACAGAAATGGCCTAATCGGGCGAGCAAATCTGACGCTTGGGTGCTCTGTTTCAGACCTAAGTTTTCGCGATTTTACATAAGCAGTTTTTGAGGAAAATCTGTTTTTCTTCCTTTTCGGAATCTACAAGGAATACGGGCAAATGCTACGTCTTGAGCTAGTAGCTACACCTATCCGATGGCATTATATCTTAGCATTCGACTAAAAAAGGAAAACCGAATTCACCGCTTGAAGGAAACCTTTCCATGTTTAAATCTCTTGTTTGAAAGCAGTAAAAAAATCTCAGTGTTGACATCCATCGTCCACAACATAGTATAAAACAAAAAAAGGAACAAAATGTAGATTAACAGGCGCTTAAGTAAACATCCCAAAATACCCTTGCCAAGTCAGACGTTCCAAACGAGTTCTTGAGTGAGCCCTTAACATTTTAAGATGCAAGACACATCCAGTCAAATTTTCTCGTGTTAGGAATTAAAAAATTAAGCAATTATTCACTACCAATTAACATCACCCTTGCAGAGTTTCATTTCTCCGATATAACTTTACATAATTGCACACTTAAGAATATATCAACCGCTAATATACGAGGTGCTATACTCTATCCTTAAAAAATCCCAAGTTATGTCTCACATATACTATTAAATGTGAAAATAAACTACGATATTAAGATTTCCAGCTAATAAACCGGAAACTGTCTAAAACAAAATCAGTTTCAAAAGCGCCCTTGGCCCTGCAAAGCGAATTCAGTATCTAAATTATAAAACTGCCTTTGGCAAAAGACTTGTTTAAATGAAAATACAAAACTACACCGTAGTCAAAATTAACGTTACATTAACTTTTTCGTGCTGTGTACAGCCACGCTGTTCTGGTTGCATGTATCTATTGATTATTAAATTTTTCTCAGGGGTTTAAGAGGGGGGGGAGAGAGTAGGAGTTAATTAATTCTCTATTGAATATATGTTTTTGAGTAATATTTACAAGAAAAAAAAAAAATACCAAATAACAAAAATGTACATATAATCCAAGGCTGCTATTGAAAGTCACTTTCACCAGACAAAAAAAGGTCTACGTGTTACCCTCCTATAGTTTCGACAAATAAAATTACTATGATACCATTCGATAATTATCAGAAACGAAACAGCCAAATGAATAACATATAGTACAGCAAAATATTCAAATGTTATCAATTAATCAGTTGTAGGGTGAACTTGCAATAAATACCAATTTTGATGTCAGATTTTTACGCCTTCGCACAACTACATCTCACATAAACTTCGTAGCTTATTTGACGATGAACCTGATTTTTCTTTTTTCACTTACTTTGTGTCTGGTTCAGTATTCAAAGCGAACTGAGAAAGTTTTAAGTCTAGGGTACACAGGCAACTCAGCTTATCTTCTTGACAGCTGAGGTTGCACTTTCAAAAATGAGGATGGTGCCTCCTGAAATGACAGACAGGGAGAATACACTATTCTGCAATGGCTAATATCTTCACATGCGTCTTAAGTTTTTCCCCCTCAGGATATAATTACAATTTTTATGCTCTCAAGGGGTCAGGTCCTGCCTATTTTACTAAACCGATTATAAAATAGTAAACAGGAAGCAAGAAAAAAAGCTTCCTACAAAATATAATATTGATAACAGCCTTGGTGAAGACATGATGCCTGCATCACATTATTAAGATTACTTCTTTTTTGCCAAAAAACGAAAACACGAATAAACCTAAATCATCTATTTCCTGTATATAAAATTTTCATCCTGCTTTTTTAACGCCCCCAGCCGTTCGCAGCAGCAGAAACAGTTGGGTCTAAGCGTGGGCGCTTGGAACCAGGGTCTTTATCCATGTCACGGTCATCTCTGATGGCTGCTATCCTCCTCTGTACCTGGTAGGGTGAACTGGGGGATATTGACGAGCGCGAGTTTGGTGACGCTGTGTCTCTATCCGCGGGCTCAGCCTTGATGCTCACCGCGGACATGCCTTGACCAGGAACAGTAAGGCGATTGCCCAGTAAATTCCTAACAAAAGAAGTCTACATTTAGTATTGGTCATTAAAGTTCAAAAACTCAACTTCACAACTGATTACCCTGAATTTGACAAGGGTTGCAATCAGTGGCTGGTTCAAACGCTGTCGTGTAACTATTTTTCAATATTACCCTGTTTTCCTTCTTTCTTTCCATTTATTGTTGTAATCTTCCATGTGTCACTAGTTTTACCTTCTGTTACCCTTGTCACCCTTTTTCATGTGCATTGCTTTTAAATGAAGATTAATATTTCCATGCCAGCAAATTCCTACGATGTTTTCAAGTTTCAGCGTTCCTACTTTGCAATATGAACGTGTTTCCACGTGATCCTGTTGTTTTGGACTATGCTTTCAAATCATGCTTACACCTACATCACCCTGTATCTTTCGGTTGAGGATATGAACACAATTCTCCTCGTTGGCACATTTGGAAATGTACAGAGAACAGTAAGAAGAATAGGCATACTCATATTACGTGAAAGACCATTTGTATCAAATAAGAATTGAACACAATCCCTCACCCTGCTTGTATCATGTTATTTAGCTGCAGCTGCTGTTGCAGTAGTGCTTGCTGTTGAATCAGAGGCAAGGCAGCAGCAGCACCTTGGTACTGCACCAGTTTGTGTGCCAGGGATTCAGTGTTGTTATCCATCGAGAATTCAGCAGGGAATCCAGAGGGGAGAGCCGAAGAAAATGACTGTGGTGCCCCAGATATGTTGGGTGTGGCCATGGAAAAGATGGGAGTAGAAAGGGAGTGATTATCACTTGGTGTTGGCATGGGTAAGTTGTTCAATGATATCACTGGAGTGGATAAAGGTTGATCCTGGGCTGAAGCGCCAATGCCATGTCGGTTATGCTGTTGATACAGAAAACACAAAAGATTAATACACATTAAAATATATACAAGACTCCACTGCAATGACTTAGAAGATCAACTCAATTCAAATTTTCCAAACTGATTATCTAAAGGTATAATAAATCTGTATATTGACAAAACCAATCAGCAAAACTACAGAACCTAACTTCTCACAAACATAGAATGGTAGCACCATAAAGTTTAAGCCTAGCACATCAATACATCTGAAGGTTGTTATTCTAAATATCCAAGGCTGGTGATGTACGTAACACTTCTCTTTAATTGTGTCCCCACATTAGGATGGGATATCTCCCAAACTAGAGGGTTCTTTGACACGTTAATAAAGTTTCTATCTATCTATCTATCTATCTGTCTGTCTGTCTGTCTGTCTGTCTGTCTGTCTATCTATCTATCAAGGCTTGGATCCCCACACACAATGCTTTCAACAGTGCAGATTCAAGCAGTTTGCAGGAAGATTATCACATATGAGGCAGAAAGAAAGCCTGGCTCACCAATGAGCACTCTATGGCTCAGTTGGCAAAGAATCCAATTGTAAATTTGCAAGGTCTCATGGGACGGGAGACTCAGCACAAACAGCAGCACCACTGATTTTTTGGGTCACTTCTCTTACCATCTGTCCTGCAGCTGAGCTTCTGTTGGGGATGTTTATCTTTAAGGCAGGCCTGTTGGTGTTTGGTGGAGGAGTCACAGCTTGTGGATGTGGCGATACAGAATTTCGCCCACCAGTCACCCCAGAGGGAGGTGTTACAAATGAGCCGTCGTTACCCTGAACTGATCCAGGAGTTACACTTCTCCTGTTGTACTCTGCTGCAGCCACCAAATCAGACATGTTCTGTGTGTTTCCTGAAGAAAACAAATCAAATTACATTCCATTAAGCAGAGTTTACATTTCAGTTTACTATCATTGTTATAATTTTGGAACAAGTACGGAAGTTTCAATTGAAATTGACAAATTCCTACAAACAACTCAAGAGGGCTTCTATGCTTCTCAAAACAAATTTTTTAAAGTTTTTTTGTATTTTTCTTTATCCTGTTATAGAAAAACAACCTTTTGTCTTTGTAGACACTGAGTTGTCAATGACCAACAAAAAGTTTAAACAACCCTACTACTTTCGTTTTCTTACAAAGTAAAATATGCTACAGCTGACTCCGTTGATTTCAAGATTTTGCGACAAAAAGGTTCGAGAAAAGGGAATATTTCAATTACAGAGTTTTCCCCTAATTTTTACCTCTTTTCAATCTTATCTTTATGGACAAATTAAAGTGAAAGATAAAATAATGTGTTCTGATGAAAAAAAAACAAAAAAGAAAAGAAAACAAAGAGAAATGGGACTGCTCCTAAGTTAGTATCATATTAGTAAATGTCTAATATGAATAATAAGGGACAATGTCATTTAATTGAAGTTTAATCATTACAGAAAATACAGTGATGATAAATTTGTTATTTAATTTCAAAAGCAAACAACCCATAATAAGACCATTTTAAGCATCACTTATTTTTAACTCATCACATAAATTTTATGATTTTTTGTTATCTACACATAGTGTTTTAAAATCAGACAATTATATAATTATGAGATATTTTAGAACAAATACATTCAACAGTGAGTTTTTTGAAGTTCTTAAACATAATTATCAAAAACTTGTGACCTCATGAAAGAAATTAAAATGAAGAGTATGATGTATCTATTTCTGGATGAATTAATGCTACAAAATAAAAACAATATTTTAATTATCATTTGGCAAATTAAATTTTACCAGAGGAGTGACACCATGCATTGGAACTTTGCCAGCTATATTGACTAATATGTCCATTACACTTTTCTCTTTAGAAATTCCTACAAACTCTTGTATTCTTTTTTAAACTTTTTTTACTTGTTTATTTAAGCTTGCTTTGTTTTTATTTATTGAGGCCTAAATCACTCATTTATGTTTAAGTATTGGTCAGCAATGTAAATTGTAAGGAGGAAACAAAAATTTGCCCATCAACAATAAAAGTTTATAATGTAAGATTACTTTTTAAGTTTTTTAAATTTTTTTAATATTCTCAATAACTGATTCCATAAATATTAAAAATAAAGTCAACTCAAGCGTGAAACTATACTATCACCATAATGACCAAACAGGTTTTGTCTAATATTGGTCACAATGAAACTGTTTATAATACTTGAAAAATTCAGATTAAAAGCATGGTCTTATTTCTGGTTCTGAATATCACTCTTTTGTAGTTCCTTAATTGAAAAAATTGGAAGTAAATTACACAAAATTGTCAGCTTATATTTTCAAAGTAGAAAATAAATGATTTGAAAATCTTCCCTGGGGTTCATTTAAAAACATGTTTCAGAGTGTTGTCACTATTTGAAAACAAAGAGTGAAAACCTACAGTGATAATAAAATTTATAACATAACCAAAGTAAAGCACGCGCTTTGATTGGTCAATTTAGCGTCCCCCATTTGCCCATGGGTGTACGCTGCTGACGTGAGCAAGTGCAAAGACTATTTTTCCGCACGCGCTTGTTTTTTCTGGTCACGTAAGATTTGTTAAATAAAAGGGAACTCTTTAGCTACAATGTATCAATGTTATGTTATAAAACAAATGGTAAACACCACAGCATACACCATTGAGTTATGAATGCACTTGGGAGGTTTGCTAAGCACTCAAGAAGCTAGAGTCGCTCTTGGCTATCGCCTCGAGCGACTCTTGCGCTTCTTTCGTGCTTAGCAACCTCCTGCGTGCATCCATAACTCAATAGTGTACGCTGTGGTGTTTACTATTTGTTAAATCAAATATCACTGTGATAAAACAAATGAAGCGCCTGTTATCTGAGACTCTTGCACGAGACTCTTGCACAAGACTCTTGCTATTTTTCTTTTTGCACCAAAATCTGACAGACAAAAATTGGTTCCTTTTAACTGTACATCGTTACAAGTCTTCATGAAAGAAAAAAAGATTAAAGAATTCTCTACATTACAGTAGATTTTGTGATAGATCTGTACATTCTATGATAAAATTTTTCAAAAAGATAAATTTGATGGGGGCAACAGCACTGGGTTCATGTTTCCTTTTATCAGCTTTGGGAGTTTGATGGATACAATTGGTCTGAAATGTAAGAACACTCTCATTAGTTCAATCATTTTGCTTAATATTCATTTAAATTTCAATTGAAAGATATGATGTTTATGACAAGCAAAATAAACAACTGCTGTCTGTCTGCATCAATATATATATTTTTTTGAATATGGAAAAACATTTTTCTGTCTTTATGGATTCAGTTTATGAGACATAATGGAGGACATGACAATTTTCTAAGTTAACCTAGACTCTTGGCTTTAGAAATGATAAAATTCTTAATAATTAATCCAAGCCTACCTGCACAAGATACTAAAATTGACAAACTGACTTGAGGATAATAATGAAGCCATCTGAAGTGCTTGTTACCAACATATTAAGACTAATAAATCCTTTCTGAAACCACACTTAATATGGAAAAAAAAAAACCAAAAATATTGCTTGTAGCTAGAAAGTCTCGATGTTAACAATAAACTTTCATTTGAAGCTACCAATTCTAACCATTATTGCTTGCAACTGATATTAAAGGAAAAAAACTGCTTGGTCCATTTATGAACACTCCTTATTCAACTAGTACTGCCAACAATTCATGTCTATCAAACAATGCAAGTTAGCTCAAGCTCTTTCTGCTCTGTTCTCCAATCACTGAACATAATTTCACAAATGCTTATCCATGTATCTGACAACATCCTTCCAGTATCTTTGATCTCCTAATGAAATGTTCAGTTTTCCACTTAAAGGCCCATTTTCAACCAAGATGCCTTGTGCACCCAGATCATTTTTCATATATGAAAAATACGCTATTTTCCTCAAAGTTGCGGAATCGCTTTGATATCTTCTTCCATCTTACTAATTAGGGCTTTCAAAGTTCCATCTTGAATCATGTGCAAAGAACAAACTATAGTAGTATCCATATCAGTAAATAATTTTTAATTCTTACATGTATGACGGTGAAAAACGTCATTTGAAAAGTTGATGCCGCCGAGGAAGCGGTCTAGAGGAAGGCCGGGTCTGCCTGTCTCGGCAAAGGTTATTCGACTTCTAGAGTCTGTGTATGATTTATGGAGGGCAAGGAAAACAGCAATGGGTTTCGGTAACACTGCAGACAGTGCTTTTGCAAAAATGTTATCGCATTGTTCCTACGGTGGAACTAGAGACTCCGGGGAAATTTTTGTGAGGTGTGAATAATTATTTGACTGATTTTTACTTGAGATCCTGAGATATGTATGTAAGCGATCTCATTTGTACAAGTCATTATTCTATAATTGAAACGCGTAAAGTAAATCAGTTTTGGTCAATATTGGTTATTTGTTTATATTTTATTTAGTGTTGAAGCCGAACAATTTCCTTGAACATCAAGTAAGCTTTGTACAAGTTTTATACACAGACACAATTTATATATTTAGCTGCAAATTTGTTTACTGTGTTCTTCACCAAATCTTTGTTTTTCTTTTTAATAGTGTTTGTGAATGACTATCAGAGTTCGCCATTTAACAATAGCGCGATTCCAGAACAAAAACAAATGACTGCAAAGGATCTCGATGAAAATGGGCCTTTAAAAATTTTATTCTAGAAGTAAGAAAGTTCCCATCCATTTGTTGTTTATAAAATGTGTGTTGTGAAATTTTTAGGCCCAACTAATCCTGGTCAATTGGCTCTGGTTACAGTTCATATATCGCCAAAATTGAGATAAAACCATAAAGAAGAGGCCTAAAGGAGGTAACATTTCAGTTGTGTTCTTCAGCACTGCAGGTTGTGACCGTTCTGGTTGCTGCAGCAAGTAAGAAAAAATATTGGAAACTAACTTTGTAGCAAAGGTTGCCAAGTTTGCAAACTGTTTGCAATCCTTTAGCAAGCTGTCTTTAAGTTCTTATCTGTGCTTAGTATTAGAAGTCTACAGTTAGAGCAAATAAACATTTTCTTTAAATATTACATGTGATTACAAAGGCTGTATTTTTTAAAAATTTTTTGGAGGTTGAAATTTTACTTCTAGTAACCATTTTATGATTTTAAGTATTCAACAAGTGACTTTTCAAAAAGTTTGGTTTACATGTACAGTATATTGCTATTCTTTATGAACAATTCACAAAAGATGCACTTCATATAGTTTAAGTACCTGATATAGCAGTAGCATTCCCTCGTGGGTAGTTTCCATTCATGTGTTCAGGATTGATTCGACCACTAGAACTGACTGGAAGACCAGAGCTCATTCCAGGTGCATCAGCACTACCAGGTCTGCTGCCATAACTATCTTCTGAGCCATTGTTGGAAGACACTGGGATGGAAACAGGCAACTGATGATAACCATCATCAGATTGATGCTGAAAAATCAGAGCATTTGATCATTAGTTAACAATAATAAACATATAATCATCAAATAACCTGCCCACTCTTATGAAAAAAACCGACACATTTAAATCACCATGATACACGTAGCAAGTACAGGAGTAGAAAAAGCTGCATAGCCAAGTAGAAAAAGTTGCATAGCCAAGTAGAAAAAGTTGCATAGCAAAGTAGAAAAAGCTGCATAGCCAAGAAGAAAAAGCTGTGGCCTAGCATGTGGCCTTACAAGAAGAAATTAGAAAGATGACAGGATGGAAGGGAAAGAGTGCCAGTCATGTTATACAATGCTTACTGACTGAATAAGATCAGGCTAGACAGGAAAATAATTGGAACTTGGTCATAACAAACAGACCAACTGCAAAACCTTCAGCAAGACATTTGCCAATTCAGCACTCCCAGTTAATCAATATAAAAACCACCTCTACATTGTAAAACATGACCAACTGGGTAAAAATACTATTAGTGCTATCACCATTCAACTTTTTTCAAGTCACTTGATCACCTTCAAAATTGAAAGCTTCATTTCATGGACAAGTCTCATTACCTAACCTTACCTTTACAGGTACAGGCAATTCATTTATCATTTACATATCATAAATTATTGTCAGTCCTAATTTTCTGTTCCAAAATTTTTATAAATACACCTACAAACACACACACAAAAAATAAAGTTGCAAGTAAACTTACTGGCTGTAGAAGATTCTTTTTCATCATCTGATCAAACTCTTGATTAATTTTGTTGTACTTTTCTTCTGTTCTTGGAGTCAACACAAATTGCTGTAAAACAAAAAAGGAACAAAGGATCTAAGCTCACACCAAAATACAGAAATTGACAACTTAATTTCATCCATCTGTCCATTCCGTTTAATAAAATAAACATTATGTAATTAACAAGTTTCCTTTAGCTTTCCAAACGAAGTACCAAAAAACTCATCCTCGAGGCAAAAAACTAAGAAATTAGAAAATATTTGATTTTTAATAAAAAATGTTTTAAAAATATAAAGAGATGTTTCTTCGTGGGAGCCAAATGCAGCTGAAATGGTCAAATATTTTGTTTTCAATTACAAATTGTTTGCACAATAAGTGTTAAGATAATGATGATCTTCCATTAGCAAGGCAACAAGAGAGGAAGTAAACTGTGCATTACTGTAATCAATATGCAAGCAAATTCAATGCATAAGACAATGACCTACCTTATCTGTGTCGTCAGGGGATGGCAAAGCCTTGTTCTCCTTCTTTGAAATTGTCTTTTAAGGGAATAGGAAAAAAACAATGGTAACATTGAACAATCATATAAGGAAATTTCTGTCTTTTGACTCGTGCTATCAGAAACAACCATGAATGCAATAAGCTACTCCATGCTGATAAAATGATAATGAAAAGTTTCACTCCTGGTAGAATTTTTCCATTAATTCCTCTTAATTACAGCTGATGTCCTTTTGTTGTATTGACTTGCCAAGGGAAGTTTGCTCGACATGAAGAACAAAAATTCAAGCTCAATATCTATTACTTTACCTCAACAATATCTGTGTTTGTTCTGCTCTCGTGTGGTTCATTGTATTCTGTGTATTTTAGGAGGATCTTGTCCATGTCTGTGCTAGCATACTGGAACAGTTTGTTTCCAGAGTTGAATATGATAAGAGCAATCTCACAGTCACACAAAATGCTCAGTTCATAAGCCTTCTTCATCAAACCAAATTTGCGTTTTGTGAAAGTAACCTGGCCAGATGGGAAAGACAAAGAGTTAGAATATTTTTCCCTTGACATGCTAGTATCACTTGAACCCTTATTTTTAATTTTACCTAATGTTCCTAACTACATGTAGGTTCCTTTCTACAGTCAATACCAAATTGACAGAGAATAAATTCACATTAGAGAATAATTAGCAATTTCCAGGTAAAACTTGAGGATATTTTAAGAACCGTTTACAGAGACAGGAAGTTCTATCATAAGCAAGGGAAGCCATAATATTGAAAAATGTTATAAATAAAAGGGAACCAAAACAAAAGAAGAGATTTCATACAAAACATGATGAAGCAATTTATTTCTACTCTTCACAATAATTGCAAACCACTGTTTCTGTAATCTACCGCAGATACACATCTGACAGCAAGGACTAACATGTCACGTGGAATTCACAAGTTGACTTTTCTTTAGCATCCAAGTTAATCAGGCTTTTGGTGAAGTATTGCTCCTTGGCATGGTAAAATGTCTTTCTGATTATATCATTTTCCATCCAATTGTATGTTTCAAACAATTTGATAGTGCTGTACAATACAAGTTTTCGGCAAAAAGATACATTTTATGCATGCATATAATTCTAAAAAGAAATTAATTTGTAGGTTTTTTTTAACAAAAAGGCTTCTGCAAATTCACTTGCATTCAATCACCTTTTTCATAAGTGTAATTGTAAAAAAATTACTTGTAAACAAACAACATTTTCGTTTGCCACTAGACTTAATCAACAAAAATTATAGTTCATATTATTTTTTTTTCCAAACGGATTATAGGTACTCACTGTTTCCCCTGTGCCAGCTGCAAATATTTTTTTTCCTTTTTTGTCGTTTCCTTCAATTATTAACTGATTGGAACTGGCTTTTACAAAGTATGCTAAATATTTTCAAAGGGTATTGAAAGAGGCCCCTTCATGAAAACCAATCTCGTACATTCCTCAAGCCATGACAAGCAGATTTCTTCCAATTCCAGATTCCAAACATAGTTATCTTTCAGATACACACAGTGCATTTGAATGAGTCACTATTGTCTCAAAAACTATACACAAGCCATCAAGATGAGCACCAATGTCACATTATCAAATTGCTTCAAGGGCTTGGAAATTCGAATTTCTTTTGCACTTAAGAGCAATTGCAGATGGAACTGCTGACCTTCTTGTTTACTTATGAGGACAAAGAAATCACTGAAACTTCAATTTTTTACAAGCGGAAAAAAAAGGAGATGGTTACATAACAATGCTTTGGGCAAACTAGTCACACTGCTATAGATTGTATTTATAAGGAACGTATATTCTTCCCTCCATTCTCACCAGGTGTTGAGACATGACTATTTATGGAATGTTTCTAGAAAGCCTTCGAGACAATGCCCTCAGGAAAGATAAAGCTATCCATAGACAACGAGTCATTTAAATGAAGACAACGAAAATCACGCTTATATATCTCCGTTCTCGCCATATAAACAAAACATTTACTGTCAAAAAGATGAGAGGTCCTGAGAAAATTGCATATGGATGAAACAAGTTCACCAGAAATCAAATGCATTTGCCAAACACTAGAAAGATATCCTTAGGTCAAAGATGGAACATGTACATGGGTGTGGAATTTTCACCATGTTTTGCGGTTGATAAATGTCAAGATTTATCTCAGCAATTTTTTTCACATATCAATGGATAAGCAATGTAGCAAGGAAACGTTGAAAAGCGCCCAAAACGGTTTTTTCAACTAATGCACTACTACACACGATAGATTCATCAAAACGTCTATAAAATGTAAAACTTTTGTCAACAAAAACGCATGGAGGTAAACGTTTCTTATAAATGCTAATTGTGTGTTTAAAATGATCTCCAAGAAATTAGAAAGGCAAACAAAGAACCAAAAATATCTCACAACACGCGAACCCAAAGCTTTCGCTGTTCGCCTAATTAAGATTCATCCATATCAAACCTTGGTTGGTGACAACAGTTCCGAGCAACAAAACAATCGAAATTCGACCAAGATTTTGCTCTGACATAACAAACACTTTTCAAATTGTCTAGCATCGTTCAGGCTGATTGTGAGTTAAAAAGAGTCCATCTCTATTCAATCCACTGGCCGAAATCTGCGCTTGGCAGGTACCCAGAATTTTGTCGTAAACTATTTGCAGTAGACTTGGCACATCATTGCACATCCCAGCAATCTCTTCATTACCGTGAAAACTTTGACTTCTGATTCCATTAATCTTCAAATAACAAAACACCACACGACATTTCCTAAAACTAACCCAATTGACCTACACAACCTAAAAATATCGGCCCATAATGAAATTCTAACCCCAAACCGCTCTTTCTATTTTGGACCTCTGAGTGCAATATTTAGCATCCCTAAGCCGCCCGCGCGGACTAAAAAAGCCACAAACCTGCTATTTGTGTCTAGAGTAATAAAAAGAGTGCGCTTTGGATGAATAAGTAACGCATTTGCTTCTTACCTGACGATTTCTCTCGTCGCCGATTCTTGAAATCTGGATCTTCTTTCTCCCCATTTTGTGCTTTGCTTTCTTCGGGCTGTCGATAATTTCTAGTTTTGAAGGGGGGCTCCTGGCCAGAGTTGAACTACAGTGAGTCCGATCGTTTGAGGCGTCTAGCGCGGTTGATCTGTAAAAATGAACAGATTGAAGCAACAAAGTGAGTTCATTAAATGATTAACAAGTACCAGCTAGTAGTCTCGCCACTGTCGACAAAGACTGCCTATCAACAACGTTTTTCTCAAGATTCCTACTCGTACAATTTGCGGTTCGTAATGATGGCAGAGTTCGATCGTCGTTCTCGTCTGTAAATTGCACTTCAAGATGAACTTACAGGGAAAGAACACTTCTTCCTCCGCTTTCGAAGCGATCTTTCATTGCGTTAAATGATGTCATGCCGTTTACAATCAGTGATTTTCGCCGGGGATCTTAGCGCGAATGATCTCACTCAGGAAGCATTCCTCACGGAACTTCCACGCTACAGCCACGGAACAGACTACTGTGTTCGAAAGCGGTGAGGTTCTCGTCGAAAGCAACGTCCCTCTCTTCACAGAAGTCGAAAACTAAGGCCGGAAACGTTGCTCAATTCGTATAATCTTGAACCATGTCCAACGTTCGAGGTCCGCTCGCGTTGAAACTGGACTTTGTTTGTGTAGAGAAAACGATCTTACTTCACAGTCTACGCCATCTTACTTCACTTCTCCAAAAATATTTTACACTGGAAATAGTCTGGCAAGATTGGAGATAATATGGCTTGACTTAACAAAGATGAAAGCAACCAAGTTCGCCCGACAGATGCATTCAAACATATGTGTACGATGACTCAGTTCCCGCGAAATACACACGAGACAACTACCTTAGTGAATTAAATAACGAACCATACCCTTGTGTTATCGCCGCGCGCACATGAAAATTCGTTTATGTGGAATGGACGAAACCAATTTTCCCCCAACATTATGACACGCTTTATATACTTTTGAGATTCGTCGCAACATGAACCTACCAAAGACAACAGTCGAAGATGGCGAGAAAATGTTTCGGTTTTTATATCTTCGCCTGTCGAGACCTGAAACCACGATCGACACTCGGTTCGAATCAGTTGTCCTTGCAAGATAACATCAACCTTCTTACTTCTGCAGTTAAACGAAACAACAATTGCAAGCAACCTTCGATCGAAGAAAACGAAAGATGCTACAAGTAAATCGATTTAGCAAAACATCAGGGAAAACCATGAATCTCCAGACGACAGAAAATTCGCAGGTTACCGCTCAGACATGGCGTAAGCGAAGTCGCAGATTTCCATGCATCGAATTGTGACAAGATACCATTAATTTTACCTAATTCATTGATAGATTGTGGCAGACCAGGGACTGAAACCTCGAACAAACGACAGTGTAACTAACAACGGTTACTGCTCTGCATAGGATTGCCTAAAACTGCAAGCGAAAGGGAACGTAATCATCAGCTCTCCACTAAGTCAAAACAAGAATTTGATGCCTACTAAACGACCATTTAAACGTTAGGGTGAATAAAATAACCTTTCGAAATCGTAAGGCTATTTCTTTGGCTGTTTATACTTCACTGTAGACGGAAATAAAAATTCAAAGATCTATTTTTACCCACCAGTAGATACGCCTTTTCACAACAGCTGCTCTGACAATGTGTATACCATTCGATCTATTTGTGGAACAACTTCGAGTGAGAAAAGTGCTCCGGGAATTTGCATTTTGGGAGGGACATGATGTCACTGTGATGTCATTGCACCTTAGGGAGAATTTACCATGCGATCCGACGCATCAACCTATAGTCCAATGCTTCCCAAAACCCAGTTTTGGGCGAGATTTCTCTTTCAAATGTTGTAAACAGAGACCCAAGATATAGCTATGCGTGGGAAAAACATAACAACAAGCTTTATTTTTATAGACTATCAGAAAAAATTTACAGTAAATTAAAGAAACGTGAGTTCGCACATGTAACTCTAGACTCGCTTCCCTTAAATGGGCCCACAGCTGACAGTCATGTTTATTGGGTTACGATCGAAAAACGACAGATGAATGTTAACATTAAGCTAGTTACTTACCTGAAAAAATTTGACGAATTTCTTGTAAAATAGCGCTTAAGGCACCTCGAGATTCCAGAGAAAGCTTAACAACATGCAGCGCAGTCAAGAAAAAAATTCTCCTTGTTGTAGTGTTTGGTTACTATAGTTGTCGCTGACGTCATTCTAAAGCTTCCTGTTTTCTTTCCCTTTCCAATTTACATGCGGAACAAAAATCACTTTTTTTTCCCCAGAAATCGAAGAAGAACGCTTCGCTAATGGGCTCTGCTTCCGTACATTTTAAAGTTCCAATTTGTTAGTGCCACGGTGAAAGGAAAGATTCCTAGAAAAGTTATTAAAAACAAAAACAAAATCGAAATATTTCGCTCCGGTAACCGGAAGAAGACGGCTAAGGTTGTCAATCCCTATAACTTTCGAACTCACCGCCATCTAATTCTTCCCCTTTCCTACTTTTCGAAACACAGGCAATAACGTCAAATCTATGTTCAGACCTGTCAATGGCGTTTCAGTTTTGCGAGCGATCAGTGGTTTATTTTCCTTCCACTTCTTACATTTGCCTTCTACATTTGTTGTCAAATCCTCCGTTGCAGTAGGGAAAAACCCGACGTGAATTTCAAATGAAACCACATGCATTTGCATAAAATTTCTCGTTCCTCCGCAAACCGCCGACATCGTCAGCAGACATCAACAGTCACGTTCCCAAACTGAAGTTTCTCTCAACCGACCAAAATATTTTTTTTTACTTTTTGAAGATTTATCGATTTGGAAGTGTTTATTGAGCTTGTAATCTCTGTTAAGTATTTTGTGATATTCTACCAGAAAATGGGAAATTTTCGAGATCCCTAGGATATGCGATCTCTCTAAATTTCATTTGCCTGAAGGTCTCACTGTTGTCCCAGCTTTTCGTCACGTGATTTTGTCAATCAAAAGAGCATTTCATGTTGACGGCAATTTTCTAAAATTGAGAGAGAAATCAATTTTTTTTTCTTCTTTAAAGTGCCAAAACTAGGTGTCATTGTTTGAAAATTCATCTCTCGATTTGAAAGATGTACCTCGCCTGCGTTTGTAGATTCTTACAAGTTCGTTCTCAGTTTTCCCTGAAGGGATCGAAAAACGGCCTTTGGAATATCATGTCATGTCAGTTGGTTGTTTCAAATTGCACTTTTTAATTTGTTCCACAATATTAGTATTTTAATGTTTATCGGTGGCTGATTCATTTTTCAGAGGGAAAAATAACTCGGTGATCTCTGTTCGAAGGAGTTTGTGGAAGATTTTATTCAATATCGACTGGAAATTTTTGAATCACATAAGGGGTGAAATTTGCGATCATTACGCTGTGGAAACACCAATTTTTGCATACCATTTCAGGCAAAAGGAAGCGATCCAAACTACAGCGTCTCATTCGTTATTTCGCTGCTAAAACCACGACAAACTTCAGCACCTTTGAAAAATTACATGATCTAGTATGACATCCGCAATCCGCAATCCGCTCTCAGCTGAAAGCGTAGTTTCAGAAGCCCTATAAGCAGACTGAATTTTTGTGACCAGTAATAAGCTTTAAATAATTCAGTGCGTAGTTGTACAAAGCTGTCGAACAGCACGTGTGCCTGAAACTTAAGTTTGAACCTTGAGCGCTCTCAGTCGGGTGTCGATTAAGTAAATGGATCAAGGGCAAGAGTAACATATTTCATCATCTAAATAGTGTCTAACTCTGAGACAAGTGAAAGCTTACGAAGAATGACAATTTTGACATAATGATCCTTTGTTGTTCTTCTCGACACAACAGGTTTTTTTTTAGTTACAAGGTTGATAGTCAGAGAAAATGATCCAAGTTTGACTTTTTCGTATCAGTAGGAATAGCGCATTCTTTGACACAGTCGAGATTCGAGAAAGTTTCCTACAAGATGCTCGAAGATGGCTCAGTTCAAGTACATCACGCTTTTAATCATCTGCGGCTTCACAGCACATGTTCAAAGGATAAGGTGTGAAATATAATTGTAGCTTCGCCGTTGGATCGAAAGTACCACACATAGAGAGGAACACAAGAATCCCTCGACAGCTTAGCAGCACTGATACAAAAGAATATGAATTCCGAATAATTCCAAACTGGAACGCATCCTTACTTTTACAGGAATCAGCTGAGTAATACGGCGAATTCACAAACACACAAAATTTCAGAATCCGCTCCCTTCGAAAGAAAACTTCTACCCATTGCAAGGTATGTAAATAGGACGAGGCTGTTTGAACTGAAATATCGTGCAAGAGCTGATATTCGCCAAGAAGGTGTGCACTTGATAATTCGTTCATAATTACATAAACTCAGCAAATAAACGAGCAACATTTTTTACCCTTTTCAAAACTTTTATCTGACAGTTGAGAAGAACGTGTGCAAAGGAATGGAAAGAGAATCAGCCTGATTAGAGGGTCAAAGAACATACAGTTTAAGAGCCTTCTCAGTAATTGTAAATTGACATTAAACTCATCTGTGATGTACTTACAAAAATAGTTGAAACATAAGATCTACTACTTCAGGAAGAAACAGGTTAAATTTCGATTTCAATTAGCTAAGACATGCTCCAAATTTTATTATCATTTTTAAAACACATCAAAAGGTTGGGGATAATTCGAAGCTAATGTGAGAAAACTTCTTCCGAGATGAAGTGTTTCTAACAAAGCAGTCATATTTCATAATACTGTCGGGCAAGGTGAACATGCTCTGATTCGCTTTCGACCTTCGCCATAGTTTTTGCCCTAAAAAAAAAACCCGATCGAGAAAGTATCTCGAAATCAAAGACCTCAAACTAGTCACAGACTTCAGATAAGGCTGTATTTACTATTCGGAAATGGGATAAAACGTGTTTCATACGATGAAACAACGCTGTTGGCTTTAGAAGAGGTACCATTAGAAAAAAATAGATGTACATTAGGTCGGTAACCCGCGTAACTTCGTATAAAATGCAAATAACATACCTTCAAAAGCTTTCATTTCATGTACCTTTTTTTTTTATCTGATTTAAAAAAAAAAAATTAACGCAACATTTTCATTTACGATGATGAAATAGAATATGTCGTCAACTGCTTATCAAGCAGACACGCAGTTTCTCTACTTAGAGAGAGGAGCTTCGTCTCTCGCAGACACAAAAAACGCACTTTTTTGTCTATGTACACGTGTTGAAATCAATTACTGCTAATGAATTAGACCACAAAGTCAAACTCTGCCCCAGGATGAGTTTACAAATAGCTGCTCTGTTTGAATGATTACATTTTGAAGTTACAAGTTTGATTTATCATGGTCAGCTGCAGCCGTCAAGACCGTAATAGGAGTCAATAAACCGTGAGGCGTAAATATATCACAGTGAGGTAACAAAGAATAATTCGTACCACCTGAAAATCATGTGAATATTGTCACGCCTTCAGTAAGTGGAATTTCATCATGCGAGACTAAATACGGCGTAAAGACAATTGACGAAAATAAATCAGACAACTTTTTCGATTTCAGGTGCGAATGCAAGTAAAATAATTTTATCCCTTTTTTTTTTACAGCGCTTATACGAGAAAAAAAATGGCAAAACATACCCCGTCGCAAACTTAACCGGGTGAAAATTAACCAGTTAAAATTCAAGCCAAACTATTTCTCAAAGTATGGACTAAGTCACTAAACAACCTTGAACGCCACTAAGAGCTACGTAGGAGCTACATAATAACAACTTCCAAATCTATCAAGACGAGCAAGTTTCTCAATCTAGCCAAGAAGCTCCAGTACACCTGAAAAAGCTGTGAAAATCTGGGAGATTCGTAAGATTTGAGAGACATTGAAAGTCGTAGTCAAACGGGGTATACACTGTATCCCAGAATAACTAAGGCGCATTGACTTCATTTATTATCTGATCCGTCACTTGAGCCTAACCGTGACTAGGCAAATGTTG